TACTTTCATACATTCCCTTCTTTGCCTCCATAGATAACATTTTTTGACTGCACATATACCTCAACGCACCACTCGCCTTTTTTCCCTCATCAATTCTATGATTAACCTCATCCTTCATGAATCCATCCGCCGACACGTCAACTCTCAAGTATCTGAAAACATTCACTTCTTCCATACTCCCCAATTTGATATCCAATTTTTCTTTATCTAAATCATTTGATTCCCTCATCACCTTACTCTTTTCTATGTTCACTTTCAACTTTCTACCTTTACACACATTCTCAAACTCATCCACTAACCTTTGCAATTTTTCTTTAGAATCTCCCATAAGCACAGTATCATCAGCAGAAAGTAACTGTGTCAATTCCCATTTTGAATTTGATTCCCCATTATTTAATCCCACCCCTCTCCCGAACACCCTAGCATTTACTTCTTTTACAACCCCATCTATAAATATATTAAACAACCATGGTGACATTACACATCCCTGTCTAAGACCTACTTTTACCGGGAAGTAGTCTCCCTCTCTTCTACACACATTAACCTGAGCCTCACTATCCTCATAAAAACTCTTTACAGCATTTAGTAACTTACCACCTATTCCATATACTTGCAACATCTGCCACATTGCTCCTCTATCCACTCTATCATATGCCTTTTTTAAATCCATAAATGCAATAAAAACTTCCCTACCTTTATCTAAATACTGTTCACATATATGCTTCAATATAAACACTTGATCTACACATCCCCTACCCACTCTGAAACCTCCTTGCTCTTCCGCAATCCATCATTCTGTCTTACCTCTAATTCTTTCAATTATAACCCTACTGTACACTTTTCCTGGTATACTCAGTAAACTTATTCCTCTATAATTTTTACAAATTCTTTTGTCCCCTTTCCCTTTATATAAAGGGACTAGACATGCTCTCTGCCAATCGCTAGGTACCTTCCCCTCCTTCATACATTTATTAAACAAAAGTACCAACTACTCCAACACTATATCCCCCCCTGCTTTTATCATTTCTGTCATGATCCCATCAGTTCCAGCTGCTTTACCCCCTTTCATTCTACGCAATGCCTCACGTACCTCCCCCACACTTACATTCTGCTCTTCTTCACTCCTAAAAGATGGTATGCCTCCCTGGCCAGTGCATGAAATTACCGCCTCCCTTTCTTCCTCAACATTTAAAAGTTCCTCAAAATATTCTCGCCATCTACCTAATACAGTGGACCCCCGGTTAACTATATTTTTTCACTCCAGAAGTATGTTCAGGTGCCAGTACTGACCGAATTTGTTCCCATAAGAAATATTGTGAAGTAGATTAGTCCATTTCAGACCCCCAAACATACACGTACAAACGCACTTACATAAATACACTTACATAATTGGTCGCATTCGGAGGTAATCGTTATGCGGGGGTCCACTGTACCTCCCTCTCCCCATCTACTAACTCCTCTACTCTGTTTTTAACTGACAAATCCATACTTTCCCTAGGCTTTCTTAACTTGTTTAACTCACTCCAAAAATTTTTCTTATTTTCATTAAAATTTCTTGACAGTGCCTCTCCCACTCTATCATCTGCTCTCCTTTTGCACTGTCTCACCACTCTCTTCACCTTTCTAAATCCATAAATGCAGTTAAAACTTCCCTACCATTATCTAAATACTGTTCACATATATGCTTGTCTACACATCCCCTACCCACTCTAAAGCCTCCTTGCTCATCTGCAGTCCTACTCTCTTTTACCACTAATTCTTTCAATAATAACCCTACTATACACTTCTGTCAATCAACACCTTAAAACATCTACAGCCATCTTACAGCAGGACAACACCTCAGAAACTGCTTAGCCAACCAACTCCAGGCAAGCAACCAACCTCCATCAAACGACCTGCAACTACCACCTGCAGCTGCAGCCTTATGACCGTCCTCTTGTGCAAAAAAAAAAGAAAAAAATAGGCAATTGCAAACAGTATACGTCCTTCCAGTTCAGTGGCACACTGGTATACAGCTGGTATAGTAGTGTGCAGTTGACCGGCAGGAGGTATACCTATCTTATAAATTCAACTCTTTCACGAATAACACAACATACACGCACACGTATTTAAATTGCACCAAAGTGGATAGGCCACTTAACTTTAAAATCCCACCTCCCCTTCCACCCTCCCAAACCTTTCCCACATTCCATCCTTACCCATCCTTTTTCCTTCCCCATCTTATCAAAGCTCTGGTCAGAAACCACACTGCACCCAATACCTCCAGCTCCCCATCTACTAACTCCCCTACTGTTTTTTTTTTTTTTTTTTTGCACAGGGTTTGACAAGGTTAGGGTAAGGATCCCTAGCTTTATTGAGAAGCTGAGAGCTGTTACCTACATCAGCTCAATTCAAAGCATTTTTATTGTTATGAAACATACAAGTAGGGAACAGGATAAAGTTGGAGCCATCTGTGGGCCAACATTTTCGTCTGATCAACTGACTTTATCTCGTTGACATCATAATGCTGTACAAATGTGTTCCAGACTCGAGTCATCTTGGGAATAAATGATCTCAGATGAAGTGATGTTCTGGAGAAGGGTACAGCCAGAGTGAAGTTGCTGCTTTCTGCCCGTCTGCTTCACGCTGTCCATTTGTTTCCTAGGCTTTCTTAACTTGTTTATCTCGCTCCAAAATTTTTTCTTATTTTCAAAATTTATTCACAGTGCCTCTCCCACTCTATCATCTGCTCTCCTTTTGCACTCTCACCACTTTCTTCACCTTTCTTGTACTCTCCATATACTTTGCTCTTCTTATAACACTTCTTTGTAAAAAACCTCTCATAAGCTACCTTTTTTTCTTTTATCACACCCTTTACTTCATCATTCCACCAATCACTCCTCTTTCCTCCTGCACCCACCCTCCTGTAGCCACAAACTTCTGCCCCACATTCTAATACTGCATTTTTATAACTATTCCAACCCTCTTCAACCCCCTACTACTCATACTTGCAATAGCCTACCTTTCTGCCAATAGTTGCTGATATCTCACCCAAATTTCCTCCTCCCTTTGTTTGTACACTAACCTCTCTCTTACTTGTTGTTGCCACTTACCTTTTTTCCATCTACCTCTTACTCTAACCGTAGCTACGACTAAATAATGATCCGATATATCAGTTGTCCCTATATAAACATGTATATCCTGAAGCCTACCCATCAGCCTTTTGAAAATCCACCAATACATAATCTAACAAACTACTTTCATTATGTGCTATATCATACCTTGTATACTTATTTATCCTCTTTTTCATAAAATATGTATTACTTCCAAATCTCTTTCTACACATAGCTCAGTTAAAGGCTCCCCATTTTCATTTACCCCTGGCACCCCAAATTTACATACTACTCCCTCCACAACATTTTTACCCACTTTAGTACTGAACTCCTCAACCACAAGTACTCTCTCACCTGATTCAAGACTCCCCATGCACTCACTCAACATTTCCCAAAATCTCTCTTCTCCAGGCGCATAAACGCTTACTATAACCCACTTTTCACATCCAGCCCTTATTTTACTCCACGTAATCCTTAAATTTATACATTTATATTCCCTCGTTTCCTGCCATAACTTATCCCTCAACATTATTGCTACTCTTTCTTTAGCTCTAACTCTGTTTGAAACTCCTGACCTAATTCTATTTATTCCTCTCCACTGAAACTCTCCCATCCCCTTCAACTTTGTTTCACTTAAAGCCAGGACATCCAGCTTCTTCTCGCTCATAACATCCACAATCTTCTCTTTCTTATCATTCGCACAGCATCCATGCATATTCAAACATCCTACTTTGATGGTTTTCTTCTTTTTCTTTATAGTAGGCTATACTGGAAAAGGGTTACTAGCCCATGGTTCCCGGCACTTTAGCTGACTTTTACAACACGCATGGCTTATGGAGGAGAGATTCTTATTCCACTTCCCCATGGATATAAAAGGAATAAGAACAAGAACTCTTTCTTCTTTCAACAAACAGGCCGTATCCCACTAAGGCAGGGTAGCCCAAAAAGAAAAATGAAAGTTTTTCTTTTTAAATTTAGTAATTTGTACAGGAGAAGGGGTTACTAGCCCCTTGCTCCCAGCATTTTAGTCGCCAAGAACAAGAACTATTAAGATAAAACCCAAGAAAACTCAGATGAGTGTGTATAAATAAATGTGTATATGTATATGTAGTGTGACCTAAGTGTAAGTAGAAGTAGCAAGATGTACCTGAAATCTTGCATATTTATGAAACGGGAAAAAAAGATGCAAGCAATCATGCCATCATGTAAAACAATTACAGGCTTTCGTTTTACACTCACTTGGCAGGATGGTAGTACCTCCCTGGGCAGTTGCTGTCTACCAACCTACTACACCCAATATCTGAATATATTCACTTATTCCATCCCTCCAATCTGATATCCAATCTTTCATTACCTAAATTTTTGTTATCCTTATCATCTTACTCTTTCCTATGTTCACTTTTAATTTCCTTCTTTTACATACCCTACCAAACTCATCCACCAACATCTGCAACTTCTTCTCAGAATCTTATTTTATTCATCTGAGAAAGAGGAAATCTTAAGTTTTTGTGATAATAAATTCAAAACAGATAATAGATCTCTGCTCTTGTTACCATAGTGTCATACTTGTGTTTGTTATCATGGCAGGTTATAAATCCACTCAGGCATCTAACTTCATTCCTTTGCCATTCAATACAGTATTTCTATTTTTGTCAAGAATTGACACAAATAAGCCAAGATTACAGTCAGTCTTTCAGAGTATATTGTACTTTCTTTGGCTAGTTTATCACATAGAATTTATTCAGTTAGATGACAATTGTGCTATAATTGCATTAATGTTATTTTTAATATTCATTTCTGGCTTTTCTACTTAATATGTTGTAACTCATTATGCGAGTTGAGGGAATTCAGTGGTGACATAACTGGTCAAGAAGTCAAGCTGTGTAGGGTAATAATTTTTTTCTACAGGACCACAGTTACCACCTGAAATTGCTGCTCAGATACTGAACTCTGCTTCACAATCACCACGCTCCTCCATTGCTAGTACTAGACACACTACCCCCTCAAGATCTCGATCTCATTCTGTCAGTCCTGGACCTGGGATTCCCATGCCTCCAAAAGAGGCTCCAGCACCTCCCCCACCACCACCACCTGCTCAGTCTCCCTCACCACCTAGAGGAACAGAGATTGTTGACACTTGCTCCAATGTCACTGCAAAAAATAACTGGTAAGTGCTTAATTATTCATTGCCTTGAAATTTATTCGTATTGTGCAAATTACTGAATGGGTAGAATAAATGTGGGTAAAGCAGCTAGGACAGAGGAAATAAAAATTTGAGATGGCAGTAGGTGGGAATATTGTGTCTCGCTCTTTTTTTTTTTTTTTTTTTTTTTTACACAGGGTTTGACAAGGTTAAGGATCCCTAGCTTTATTGACAAGCTATTTACAGGTTAAGGATTCCTAACAATACTGTGGCAAGCTAAAGCTGTTTACCTACATCAGCTCATTTGAAAGCATATGTTTATGGTTATTGATACATACAATAAGGAAACAGGATGAAGTTGTAGCCATCTGAGGGCCAGGCATTTTCGTTGATCACTGACTTCATCCTCGTTGAACAGTCAATATTCTGTACAAATGGTGTTCCAATACTCGAGTCATCCTGGGAGTATGTAGTTATCTCAGATGGAGAGATGTTCTGGAGAGGGTACAGCTAGAGTGAAGTTGCTGCATTCTGCCTCTCTTGTGGCATCAACGCTTGTTTCAACGCTGTCCTTGAAGTGGATCGCAAGTTTCTTGAGTTTATCTGGAGAGAGTTTATTCCGGGGGCAACGCCCCCGCGCCCGGTCTGTGACCATACCTCGCTTACGGACAGTGTCCAGGATGCGACCCACACCAGTCAACTAACACCCAGTACCCATTGTTACTGATGGGTGAACATAGACAACAGGTGGAAAGAAACACGTCCAATGTTTCTACTCTGGCTGGGAATCGAACCCAGGCCCTCACCGTGTGAAGCGAGAGCGTTAACCACCAAGTGTGGTACTTTGACAATATTGGCCTTGTACATAACAGTAAGGCCACCCACATCCTCACACATTTTTGGGGGGGGCCTATGTTGAAGGCTCTGCTGAAATGACAGATCTGTCCAGGATGGGTCCAGGCGAGAGATGAGACGTCTTGCTCTGTTCTCTACTCTGTCAAGCAGTCGCAGATGAGGGGGGGGACAGCAAACCAAGAAAGTGGAGCATACTCAAGGTGTGAGCGTACTTGTGCCTCGTACAGGATCTTGCAACTCCTACCGTCAAGCAGATGCAGATAACTGCGAAGTGCTGTAAGCATCCTGCTGCCTTGATTTGTCAATTTCGCAACATGGATCTTTATGGTTAGTTTGGAGTCAAATTTCACCCCAAGGATATCAACATCTTCTCCAGGTGCCAGACACCCTCGCTCTCGCTCCCGGCTCTCTCTCGCTCCCGACTCTCACGCTCTCTGCTTGCTCTCCTCTCGCTCCCACTCTCTCTCGCTCTCGCTCTCACCTGCGCTCCCGCTCTCTCCCGCTCCCGTTCTCGCTCGCTCCCCACCCCCCTTGTTGAAACACCCCCTCTCTCTCGCTCTCTCTCTCGCACGCTCTATCTTGCAATCTCACTATCACTCCCTCACTTTTTTTTTTTTTTTTTTTCTTTACACAGGGTTTGACAAGGTTAGGATCCTCTTGCTTTATGACAAGCTATTTTACAGGTTATAAGATTCCTAACTTTAATTGCAAGCAAAAAGAGCTGTTACCTACATCACTCATTGAAAGCATTTTAATTGTTATGAAGACATACAAGTAGGGAACAGGATGAATTGGAGCCATCTGTGGGCCTCAGTGTTACAAAAAATGTACAATATCCCTAAAAATGATAAGATCTCCAGTGGATACTAGAAAGTACTCCTGCTCTAGCATCCAGCCTGTGCTGGTTTTTGTAACAAGAAAGTCAGTATCCTGGTCCACTTGTCCATTAGAATCAATAAGATCAATAGTGCTTCAGGAATTACAACTGGTAGGCACAACTAAACTAAAGAATTAAAATTTAATAAGTTTTATAAAGAACAAATAAAGTTGTCTTAGGCATATGTTGAGCTAAGTTAAATTAATCAAATAATCACTTCTCTTCGAATATAGTATAATTGTTGCTGAAGGCACTAACAACATCTTTATGGCTTTTAGTACTGTCTGGAAGTGGGGGGGGGGGGGGGGGGGGGGTGGGTTTGGTTTGGGGGGTTGGGGTGTGGGTGGGGGGGGGGTGGGTGTGGGGGGGGGGGGGGGGGGGTAAACTTTGTGTAGCATTTAATAACATAATACATATATACATATACATATAAATATAATATATTTTTTTTTTTCAACAAGTCGGCCGTTTCCCACCGAGGTCAGGTGACCTCAAAAAAAAAAGAAAGAAAATCCCCAAAAAGAAAATACTTTCATCATCATTCAACACTTCACCACACTCGCGCCATTATCACTGTTTTTAGCAGAGGTGCTCAGAATACAACAGTCCCGAAGCATACACATATAAAGACACACAACCAGATCCCTCCAACTGCCAAAATCCCCAAACCACCTCCTTTAGAGTGCAAGGCATTGTACTTCCCCAAGTTTCCCAGGACTCAAGTCCGACTATATGAAAATAACCGGGTTTCCCTTAAATCCCTTCAACTAAATATACCCTGCTCACACACGCAACAGATCGTCATTTCCAGTAACCATTCGTCTCCATTCACTCACTATCTAACACGCACACTGCACTGCTTGCTGAATTCTAAAGCCCCTGCCGCACAAAACCTCATTTACCCCCTCTCTCCAACCCTATCGAGGACGACCCCCTACCCCGCCTTCCTTTCCCCGATATTTATATACTTTTAGTTATATATAAATAAATATATAAAATAGTATTAAATATATTTTTCAACAATTCGGTTCCGTCTCCCACCGAGGCAGGGTGACCCAAAAAGAAAGAAATCCCCAAAAGAAAATACTTCATCATCATTCAACCACTTTCACCAGCCTAAACTCGCACTTATCACTGTTTTTGTCCGAGGTGAGCTCAGAACCAACAGTCTAGAAGCATACACATTAAAGATACAACAACATATCCCTCTCAAACTGCCAATATCCCAAAACCCCTCCTTTAAAGTGGCAGGCATTGTTCTTCCCATTTCCAGGTGACTCAAGTCCGACTGATATGAAAATAACCGAGGTTTCCCTGAATCCCTTCACTAAATATTACCCTGATCACACTCACACAGATTCGTCAGGTCCCAATTACCATTCGTCTCCATCACACTCTATCTAACACTCTCACGCACGCTTGCTGGAAGTCCAAGCCCCGTTACCCACAAAAAACCTCCTTTACCCCCTCTCTCCTACCTTCGCGACGACCCCTACCCCGCCTACCTTCCCTATAGAATTATATTTCTTCCATGTCATTCAACTTTGATCCCAATCTCTCTAATGACCAAACACCACAACATCCCTCTTCAGCCCTCTGACTAATACTTTTATTAACTCCCCACCTTCTCCTAATTTCCCACACTCCGATATTTTCTGCATAATATTTACACCCACATTGCCCTTAAACAGGACATCTCCCACTGCCTCCAACCGTCTCCTCGAGGCAGCATTTACCACCCAAGCTTCACACCCATATAAGAGTGTTGGTACTACTATACTTTCATACATTCCCTTCTTTGCCTCCATAGATAACGTTTTTTGACTCCACATATACCTCAACGCACCACTCACCTTTTTTCCCTCATCAATTCTATGATTAACCTCATCCTTCATAAATCCATCCGCCGACACGTCAACTCCCAAGTATCTGAAAACATTCACTTCTTCCATACTCCTCCTCCCCAATTTGATATCCAATTTTTCTTTATCTAAATCATTTGACACCCTCATCACCTTACTCTTTTCTATGTTCACTTTCAACTTTCTACCTTTACACACATTCCCAAACTCATCCACTAACCTTTGCAATTTTTCTTTAGAATCTCCCATAAGCACAGTATCATCAGCAAAAAGTAACTGTGTCATTCCCATTTTGAATTTGATTCCCCATAATTTAATCCCACCCCTCTCCCAAACACCCTAGCATTTACTTCCTTTACAACCCATCTTATAAATATATTAAACAACCATGGTGACATTACACATCCCTGTCTAAGACCTACTTTTACCGGGAAGTAGTCTCCCTCTCTTCTACACACCCTAACCTGAGCCTCACTATCTCATAAAAACTCTTTACAGCATTTAATAACTTACCACCTATTCCATATACTTGCAACATCTGCCACATTGCTCCTCTATCCACTCTATCATATGCCTTTTGTAAATCCATAAATGCAATAAAAACTTCCCTATCTTTATCTAAATACTGTTCACATATATGCTTCAATGTAAACACCTGATCTACACATCCCTACCCACTCTAAAACCTCCTTGCTCATCCGCAATCCTACATTCTGTCTTACCTCTAATTCTTTCAATTATAACCCTACCGTACACTTTTCCTGGTATACTCAGTAAGCTTATACCTCTATAATTTTTACAGTCTCTTTTGTCCCCTTTCCCTTATATAAAGGGACTATACATGCTCTTGCCAATCCTAGGTACCTTCCCCTCTTTCATACATTTATTAAACAAAAGTACGAACCACTCCAACACTATATCCCCCCTGCTTTTAACATTTCTGTCATGATCCCATCAGTTCCAGCTGCTTTACCCCTTTCATTTTACGTAATGCCTCACGTACCTCCCCCACACTTACATTCTGCTCTTCTTCACTCCTAAAAGATGAATACCTCCCTGACCAGTGCAATGAAATTACTGCCTCTGTTTCTTCCTTAACATTTAAAAGTTCCTCAAATTATTCTCGCCATCTACCCAATACCTCCATCTCCCCATCTACTAACTCCCCTACTCTGTTTTTAACTGACAAATCCATATTTTCCTAGGCTTTCTTAACTTGTTTAACTCGCTCAAAAATTTTTTCTTATTTTCATTAAAATTTCTTGACATTGCCTCTCCCACTCTATCATCTGCTCTCCTTTTGCACTCTCTCACACTCTCTTTACCTTTCTTTTACTCTCCATATACTCTGCTCTTCTTATAACACTTCTGCTTTGTAAAAACCTCTCATAAGCTACCTTTTTCTCTTTTATCACACCCTTTACTTCATC